GACAGCCACAGAGAATGTCTCTCCTTCTCCATCCTTACAAATAATAAACTGACTCTGATCCTGCTCTTGTTCTCTTTTTCTCACCTTTTGGATGTGCAGAGAAAATGAGCAGCAAAGTCCATGAATTTGGCTCTCCAGAACCATTGTCTACAAGGCTGACCACAAAAAGCAGCAAGGAACATAACACTCCAAGCTGTGGCTGCAAGTTTGAATGCAGAGGATAAGACGTAACTTGTCCATACTTGGCAGAGTCTTGGTCTCTCCCAGCATGTGAGGAAGAGCAGGTGAGCCAAAGGTGATAGACATGTCCCAGCATGGAAGACCAAGTTCCTCTACTCCAGCATTTGCCAGACAGAAAGCCCACTGAGAAAATTTTGCTCTGTAACACTTCTTTTAATGGAGTGATATAGAGTTCCCATCAGACCCCAGTCCAGTAAATGATGCTTCTCTGCCCCTGGGTGAGGTGAGGCTGGTTGACAGCCACTCCTGGCTCTGAAAGAACATACTGACTCTGCTCCTGGACACAGCTGGGCTGCTGCAGGTTCATCAATCCACGCCCAGAGCAGTATTGGAGAGCCACATTAGAGATATCAGTTTAATGTGGCTTTATCCTTTCAAAGTGACACCAACCACACTGAAATCACAAAGTCAAAGCAGGGAAAATGCATCTGGAGGTAATTAGTAACAATCACAGGCTGCTTGGAAACTGCTGACAATGCAGCAATGTGCTGGGCCTCTGTCATTGGTTTGTAAATGCAGAGAGCACTTACAGGCTGTAGCAGAATACAGTAACAGAAGGGGTTTTTTAAACTTATTATTTAATGCAGCATAAAAACAATGCAAAGAAAGCAACTGGTTCTCTAATCAGAGATTTCACCAGTGATCCACAACACAACAGAGGTGGTAGATGAAGCAGTACTGAGAACTGTGACTATATTTCTCCTTAGCAACAAATACTGGCATGAATGCCAATATTTAAGCAATCCTTTAATTTTCAAGATCTATCCTATATGTTTCAATCTGCTAGCTGCCTAATACCAACAAGTGCACAGAGGATCTCTGTTATCTTAAATCTCAACATTGCTTTGTCACCCACACCACAAACTGGTAATGAAAGCAATGAAGAACTGTAATCATAGTTCTGTTCTCAGACTTATTTCTATTAAGTTACTTTATAATCTTCAGATTTAAGGTTAAAAACATGAAATAGACTAAGTTCTCTTCACATATGGCAGCCCAGACTACTGCAGAGTTCTCATAAGAAATAATTAAGCTTGAACAGGAGAAAGGACGTAAGTGTTCCTGGCTCAAACTCTTGGTTTTCATATTTCAAGTTATTTGCCCACTTTTCAGCCTTACCAATAGCCCCATTCTGTGTTGAAACATCATGCAATTGTGTTCACAGCTCTGCTCCACACATATAACCAGAAGAGCTCCTGGTAGAAGAGATGTTTCCCACCAATGCTGCTCTGGATACCATAACTCATTTGACAGTGTTTTAAGCAGCTCTTTGTCTCATGACACTGAAGCTGTTCCAAAATCGTTTATCATCTGGAATATTAACACAGGAATGAGATTGACCTTAAGGCATTAACACCATCAAACACAGACTCTGGATATTTGCTGGACTTTTATCCAATTAACGCTCACTTTTAAAGTGGAAAACACACTAACTAGCATGCTAAAACATGTTTCCTCCCAAGGCTTCCAGCTTCATTCTTTGAGTTTGTTCTCATACACCACAGGACAGCCTGCATGAAACAAGGAAGAGTGGAAACACTCAAAAAAAGATGAAGAAATTAAAAACAATGCAACTTTCCAAATGTCAAGAGAAGACCAGAGGCAGGGCTGGCCATTTTTCCTTCAGTAAGGAGCAGTTCACATGAAAAATGCCATCATCAACCTGTGAGGCTTAGGCTCTTCTGAACTGAGGGGGCCAAGGACCAGGAGGTGGTTCTGGCAGGATTTCTCCCATTAATAAGGGCCTTATCACTGAAATGGGGCTGATAGAAAGGTGATCTTTCTCCAGGGACTGTTACCTTACTGATCGCTTATCATCCCCTGCCCATCCCAGCCACAAAATACTAAACCAATCACTGGATTTGACCACAGCTGTGGTCAGACCACAGACCACAAGAAAAGCTCTGAGAAAGCAGAGTAGGTGGTGGGCTTGCAGACATTTGTTGGACCTTGCACTCATAACCACTGTTATGCACCATCTCCCAGCTCCTGATTTTCAGAGATACCCACCATAGATGAAAGTGCCATGGCAATATGCACCTTAGACTTAAAAGGGAAATAAATGTGTCTCCTTTACCAAATTCCCTGTCCCACCAAGGAAACGGGCTAGGGAAAGAGTTGTGACTGAAAAGATGGCTTACATTTGGGGAGAAAATAGAGCAATCTGTCCAGACCTACAGTGAAAAATGCACCAGGAGGCGTACTGAAATGGACATGTCTTGCACATTACAAAGTATAGCTTGCTACTGAATCCTTCTGGCTTCTGACAACCTGCACATCCCTTTCAGCTCCGCATGACACCTCAGAGTAGGAAGCATGACTCAGGCATACAGTACAGGCCCAGATCATGATAGGAATTTCAGTGTGCTTCCAGAGCATTTCCAGCACAAAACAATTCCTATGGCTATTAAAAAAGAATGAAAGTATAGCAGGTAGACAACTTCCTCCAAAAATATGTCAAAAGGCAAAGGTTTTAGAAGATGTTTGATATGCTCATGTAAATCTACGTTTTATGAATGCTGTTGATAGAAAACTCTACAGCACTGTCAAATTAAAAATATAAATATCCAGCATCTTGAAAAATGTGTGCTATTGTAGCTGTCACTCTGACATATTTAAGACTAATGGCAGATTTGTTTCTATTACCTGTTGTTCATAAAGCCTCCTCCATGTTTTTGAGGAGAATTAGCAAATTTAACATTGGAACTTTTGCTCAAGTGTAGGTAAGATCACAGGGAGAACCTCTGTGGAATCCATTTTGAACTCCATAGCATCACCTCTGTAGCTGGTTTTATTCTAACAAATGTGATCTATCAGCTCACAACACTCTAAGGAAGTAACAATGTGAGACATGTGAGAAGTGCTTAAACCAGCTTAAAAAAAGAAGTGTTGCTGATGTACCAGCCGTAACAGCTCTTGGCTGAATCTCATTTTGGCCAGGTGCAAATCCTGGATGAGCAATCCCTTAGAAGATGACAGAGGCTGCACTTAGGTCACGCCAAAGCCTTCTTTTCTGCAGCCTGAAAAATTCCAATTCTCTCAGTCTTTCCTCATAGCAGACGTGTTCCAGCCTTCTAATGAACTAGGATGCCTCGTCTGGTCTGGCTTCCACAGCTCCACATCCTTCCTGTGCTGGGTGTCAGGTGCGGAGGCAGCTCTGCAGGTGGGGTCTCACCTGAGCAGGGCAGAGGAACAGAATCCCCCTCCCCTGCTGCCCACGCTGGGGGCCAGGCCAGCACAAGGGGGTTTCTGGGTCCCAGCACACATGGCCAGGGCAGGGTGAGTTCTCAAGCACCAGCACCCACAGAACTCCTTCTCCCAGGGCTGCTCTCAGTCTGTTTATTCCCTGCCTGGATCAATCCTGGGAGTAGCCCCAACTCAGGTGCACCATTAGCATCTGGTCTCTTTTAACCTCATGAGATTCCCATGGGCCACTTCCAGACTTTTTCCAAGTCCCTTCAGGATGACCCTATCTTTCAGGGGTGTTACTGCACTCTCAATTTAGTGTCACCTGCAAATGTGCTGAGGATGCCTGTGATCCCTCTGTCTGCATCACTGATGAATATATTAGATAACACTGGTTCCAGCACAGACTCCTGATGGACATAGATATATCTGTATCAATGCTCTATCTCCTTATATCTTACAAGCCACACACCTCCAGAAATCCTTCTTTCTGCCCATCCATCCACCCCTAGACACCTTTCTTATTGATGAGTCCAACATTCAAACCACCCATTCAGAACAAGACAGATATTAAAAGAAGTCTCTCCCCTCCCACTTCAAGGTACACAAGTATTTCTTTAACTCTCCAATCTTTTTTGAATCCTCCTGAACTTTGTCAAGAAAAGACTGATGCTGTATTGGATTAAAACAACTTTGTGACAACACTTGGTTTCAAAACGTCTCTGCTAGATGAGATTGTAAGGCTTTAAAGATAGAGCAATACTTTACAAAAAACAGTATCATCTTCCATTGTAGCTACAAGATAAAGTATTATATCCAGTCTTTGTCAAAACAGAGAAATCCAATGAAATTTGCACCGATTAAACATAGCAGTAACACACAGAGCTAACATTCATATGAAACACAGAGCCTTAAATTTCAAAAGCCCTTCTTTTGTCTGATTTGCACAACTAATTTGGGACACAATTTAATAAGCTTTTTATCAACTTCCTTGCAAGCAATGGGGTCAATCCCAGATAAATAGGTGTCCAAAGCATTTATCAGACTCTAGCTGTTCAGCTACACCTGCTGAATAATTGGAGATGCTTTGGCATTCCTTAAACAAAAAGCCTTTGCTTTTCATTTAAATGTTCAACTTTAGTGCACAGGTAAAATTCAGAAATGGTATAAAATCAGCTTCCAAAATTCCAGCTAGTTTGAACTGTCATAAAAACTCCATCCAGTCAAACATACCAGGTGCACTTATGAAAAATGAGCACAAAAACCCAAAAGCAGAGGCAAGCAATCTGCTTTTCAGTGACGTGGTGCTATTCAGGACATACTTTCGGGGTGGAGGGGCACCTCCTTTCATGAACAAGAGGAATTGATACTCCATCTGTCAGCTGCAAACACAAACAATTTACACATGCCATGCAGCTGACTTTCAACAAGAGTTCCTATGAAACCACATTCAAAAAGAGACTTTTCGAGCAAATGATTCCACAACTGACACAATTCTTCCATAAAGGACCTCATCATGCACTATGAAAGTACAGACAATTCACACTACTTATCACTGTTTGAAAATCATTTACCTGTGACAATAGGATAGGACTGAGGCCCAGGAACACTCGCTCCCAAATCTGCAGAAGTAGGGCTGGTTATATTGGCTTTCATGTCATCCAATCCACCAGCTAGTGAGGCCATGGCTGAGTACTCAGTTGCCTGGAAAAAGAAACAAAATACATTTTAGTGGCAATAAAATTACTAATCAAGAGCTTTTTTTTGCACGTGCCAAAAGAAAGTAGATGCAATACAGAACTCAAAAATCCTTTGTTCAGACAGTGTTAAAGGCAATGCCCATTTACACTGGGCTTTTCAACATTCAGATTGTTCAGTAAATGGGACTTACTGAACACTGATTATCACCAGTGTTGATGAAGAACACCAAAATATGTTTTCGTTATAAAACCAAAGCCAAACTCATTAATATATAATAAGGCTTTCCTGAAAGAGGAAAATTTGTAGATTACCTGCCAAGTGCAAGCTAAAAATTTTCATGCCTCTTAATCTCCATACTCTCCACATTTTAGTGCTGGCACTTGAGGGGACATGCACTAATAAGAACGTGGGAACAGGATTTCTTGGGAATGTTGCATTTCTTCATCCTCTCACAGGAAAGAAAAGGTATGTATATACAAGAGTTTGCTTAATGGGATGCATTTGTAGCTAACTGTTTCTAAATCCAAGTTATTTAAAAATCAATCACCTGACTCTGGTAAGGACACTGTGCCATTTCCAAATAATTTCTTAATCTAATTAACTGAAAGAGGCAATGCAAGCAAGCACAGATCCTCAGAAATCAGAGTGTTTGTGTCCTATAACCCTGTTTAAGTCTCTGTAGCTACAGCATTCTATAGCTGATGAGGTCAATGCATGCATCTGAAGGATGTGTATGTACATGACACAAAGCTTATCTTCATCTGCCCTTTTTCAATGATTTCTTATTGTCCAGATCATTCCCACAAATCTGTGAAGTTTTCTTTCAAAGTTCTCTGTTCCCTGCTATCTGCCCTTTAAGTTTTAATCCCTTATTTGTGAGACAGCAGTCATGCCCTTATCAACTGGAGATTGACTTCAAATAAAGAGCTGCAATGGAAACAGGTAAACTGAAGAGCAACCACTGTGATGCCAATCCCTAATGAATTCCTGAAGATTAAGTCAATGCAGAAGCTGCGCAGAGGTGAAGAAAAGCAGATGAACCCAGGATCACGTGGAGGTTTTTTTAAGCAACCAAAACAAAACTCAGAAAACACAGATTCCCACACTGGATTGGTTTGGAAGGTATCTTAAAAACCAACTTATCCTACCCCCTACCATGGGCAGGGACACCTTCCACTAGAGGTTGTTCAAGGCCCCATCTAACTAGGCCTTGAGCAGAGATGAGACATCAAAATAAGTTAACTTTGATAAGTTAACTGATTATCTGAGTGAATACATCCTTCTCCTTCCTGCAGGTTTCTGTGAGAACCCAGCATATAATATAGTGCTTGCCACTAACTCAGCATTTTGGTCAGGAATATGTGCTGGTGTCTCTGTAGCTCAGGTCTCACTCAAACAGAAGTTAATTTACATGGATAATCCTGTATCCATATAATGTTTATAAGAAACAAGTTTTTTTTCTGCAGACACCATTTGCATGAAGCAGGAGTACTGTCTGTCACCTTGAAGGATCCCCCATACAAACGTCTTGCAGATGAGCATGCAAAATATATTTTACCAGGGAACAGCTGCTGGCCACCCTTGTCCTGCACCTAGCCCGTGCATCAGAGTCCTCTGACTTGTCTCCTAGGATCCTACATAACCTTTGCATTAAAGTTGTCCTGTTCCTAAGTTATTTTAGCTCATGCCTCCTACAACACTCTCTGTGCCCTCACTTTTGCCTTGCTGTCATGCACTGAGGCCTTTTTGTCTACCACCACTACCTCAAAGACACCCCACCCCTTACTCCTCCCCACTTCTGCTCCTGGGAGAGGACAACCCTGGGAACCTCCCTCCTCTGCAGAGGATGCCAATAATGGTCGCAGCCTTCCTCCTTCCTTGAAGTGTAATCAAAGCTCCTTCTTCTCATTCAGCATCACACCATAATACATTTCTCAGCCTTCCCATACCATTCCATGTTTTCCAATCCCACCTTTCCCCTACGCAGGGTACATGCACATATGAAGGCACTGCTAGATTTTTTTCTTTCCCCAAAACCCTAATCTGTCAAAACATTAGAGACATCCTATGCAGCTGGTGATGCACAAGCATGCATGGGCTGGCAGCATAGCAGAGGAAAAACCTGTCCTTGTGTGCTGCTGTTTGGTATTTCTGGTATCTCTAGAAGAGCACAAACAAATACCCAGGGAAGGCTGCCTGATTTCATCCATGCTGCTCTATGAAGGCCATAAACACACCATATGAAGACTAGAAAATCTCTTTGGATCCTCCCATGGAGCACTGATCCACCACTCCCAACAGGCAGAGAGTGAATGTGGCTTCCCAATTACAAAGTGACAGCTGCACACCTGTAGTTTGGGAGGAAGCATCCAGCTGGAATGTCACCTCTGCCACAGGCTGGGTCACATGAGAGGACTCAGGAAGGAGGTGTACATCCCAAACTACAAACACAACTGGAACCACCCTGAGCCCTCAACTGAAATTCTCACACATGGGAATGCATAACTCTATAGCTTGGTTCTCTTCAGGAGTCCAAGGAACTTACCCTGCAAGAAATAGGACCAGAGCTAAGACTTTTAACTGTAATGACCTAGAAGCACCATGCCAATGAGCCATGAGTACCCCTCTGAGCTTGGAGAAACTGACCAGTTCTAGTGTCAAGCAAGCAGCAACCAGAGTGTAGCATAACCTGGCAAGGGTCACAACAGAGGTAGCCTGTGCTCTTCCATGTCACTGCACCATAGTGAGCTGGCGCAATATGCAGTGGCGCAGTCTCAAACCATGGAACAACATCTGCAGACTGGAGGGACTGGAAGCATTATGGTTACCCGGCACAGTACAGATGGAGAGCCCATAGCCAAGCAGCACTGTGGTAGGAATGAGCTGAAGATGTGCAAAATGGAGATTTGGGGTCCTTCCCTGCTTTTGGTCCCAATAACTTCCTGAAGATGGGACCTACATGTCTTTTGCAATGGCCCAGCAACTTTTCTTAGAATAGTGGGATTTTAAGGGATTTTCCAGCTACTTTACTGTGACAAATCCCTCCTTGGAACCACCATCAGCTGAACACTAGCAGCCACATGGAGCAAGCACTGACCACAGCTTTCAGCACTGAGGCAGAACAAGTGCAGGCTGATGGGCACCCCTTCTGATTGCTGAAACCCCTCTCATCACACAGTCCCAGTGGAGAAGCGATCTCCTCACATCACGTCCACCTCTGCAGTTACAGTTTACACTGCAAAGGAGCAGAGTCAGGGCCAGCACTGGCCTGGCACAGTGGCAGTGACCAGCACTTGAAAGAGGAAAGGAAACCCCAGGGGAAGGCAGCACTCATGGAGCAGCCCCTCACCCCATGGCCCCACCGAGACCCTCCTGCTGAACCCTCCTGCCAACCCTTCCCAAGAGCTTCTCCAGCTGATTGTGGCAGGAGCAACAGAAAGGACCTAAGACTTGGCTCCTGCACTGGTGAGCTGGCAGTGCTGCTGGTGAGAAACAGTCCAGAATGACTGTCATGGCCAGGGGTCCCTCCTCGTGCGGTAGGAAGCCTGACCTTCTGCTTGGTAGGTGAAAAAGCAAGAGACGGGTGTTCGTTACCCTAGAAATTACCTGAAAAATGACTGCCTGCGGTTGTACCACGCACTGTCTCATCAGCATGGAGCACCACTGCCATAGCATGGAGGAGAGAAAACACAGACATGTGAAACGAGGAATATATAAAAGAGAGACTGAGAAGGACAAACTGAAAGGAGGGGCAAGACCAGATCTCATGTGTTCCCCAGCCCTATCCAACTCTGCCCTGTCTTGACTGTGGCAGACAGGAGCTGGGGGAGTGGCTGCAGCGGTGAGGAGAGGAATAATCTCTGTGCGCCTATTAGTAGCAGCACAACTTCTCTTACAGCAGCAGGGTCTGCACAGTCCCTTCCCATTAGACTTCTCTGCAAAGTGCACATGGGAAGGTTTCTGCTCTAAATAAGGTTTTGATTCCATCTCCATTGCAAAAGCTTTATTTCTAACTATTAATCCCCTTGGCGTGGTGGATGTGATAGGCAAATGGAAAGAAAAAGTGTGCAGAAGGGTTTCATAACTGTTTTCAAACCTGCTGCACTACAGCAAAGCAGAGAGGCAGACTACAACCAGCTTCACCCTGCACTTTTTCTGGTTAAGATGCCTGAGTGTAACACACTGAAAAGTCAACCCACCCTGTGTGTACAGAAATTGTCTCTTTGAGATTTACTTGGGATTTTATCCTGAAGTGTCAGGAAAAGATAGGCACACAGCAGGGAACAAGGCAGCCCCCTGAAACAGCCTGGTTCTTGGGTGCTAATACGGGAATCTCAGGGAGCTACCAGAGGCTGGAATGAGCCCTGCGACCCACGTTACAATCCATGAGGTGTGAGATAAATGTATCTCCTTTCTGCCCCATCCCTTTGGTGGGGCACAGACCTCACAATGCCTCTGAAGAGGCTGCACCAAGCAGAGACAGACAAGAGCTATTTGCTGCACAGGGCAAATGGCCATTAAAATTACCAGCTGGGGTCCACTGGGACTTGCACATGTTGCTTTTTGCATCTGCTATATTTTCCAAATCAGAACACAAGGCAGGCATGAAATAACACCTTCTGTGTTCTCCTGACACTGACACAGCTGCCCCCAGGCCCACGATACTGCTCAGGATACAGCAGCAGCAACAGCAACAGCTCAACAGGAGCTCAGACTATCAGTGCTTGGTGCCAGCCTGGGCTTCAGGTCTTAGTCTGCCTCCTCACCGACCACATGCTCTGCCTTCCTTCCTGACAGAGATGGTGCATCAAGAGCTGTCATTGCAAAAAAAGAACACTGAGATCCCTGAAAGGCACAGTGCTGTCCCCCAGATCACATCCACCACACCTCCTGCTTACCCCTGATGGCAGCAGCAAGCCAGACCTCACACCAAGTATCTCCAAGTTATCACATCTTAATATTTTTAAATTAGTTAGTAAATAGAGGCAAAAGTGGCACACACC